CCTTTCTTTGTGTTTGGTTGGACGGATGAAAAATAAAAATGAATAATTTTTTAAATTTTTTTTTTGTGCTTGGTAAGATTAGGATTGATAATTGAGTCGTGTCATGTCAGATTCGTGTTGAGTCATAAAATTATGAGCAGTTTATATTTTTTGTTCGTGTGTCGGGTCATTTTCAAATTATTGTCGAGTTATAATTAAGTTCGTGTCATAAAATTCGTGTCGAATTCGAGCCGTGTCGTCGTGTTGAGTCAAAAATTTTCACCCCTAGTTAAGATGAATTTTTTTTTAATTTTAAATTTTTTTATATATATTTTTAATATATATATTAAAAAATATATATATATATATATTATCATTATATTTTTATATGAAATTAATGTATACATAATATATATAGACAAATAAAATACATCTTTACACAAATAATTAACTTTCTATCCATTTTTCTTTCGATTTTGGAGAGATTGATTTTGGTGAGTTGGAAGAAAAATTAATGTATTCACTTTTCCATTCTTCCTACTTTCATTCCTTACCAAACATAATATTTTATCTATCCTTCTAACTTTCCAGCCTTCTATTTTCCCATCGTACCAAACGGAGCGTAACAGAAAAAAGAGGGGAAAATTGGATCATCACAATATGCAAAACACAGACATTAGATAATTCTGAATACATATCTCCTCTAATACCTTTTTATTCAAACTCTCTTTGTAGATGATCATTTACCATTATTGCCTAAGAGATCTGTTTGTATGTATGCAATGAGTTTCATTTGAACGAATGATAATTGATTCGCTAAAGAAAAAAATTAGAGAGAAAGTGTAATAAATGAAATCTTACAACACATAATTCTTACTTGGAATTTAATTTTTTTAAAAGGTTCAGAACCCAATTTCAAGATAGGAAATCCGTATGATTCTTTATGAATGAAAAGAACTAGAATACAAAATTTTGAGACCTTGAAACCTCGATGAGGACTAGAAATTTGAACTAATAGTGACGAATGACCAAATGACAAAAAATGGGCCCCGTGTATTGAGCCCAAACTAACAGGTAAAAACAGATGGAAAACCACTAAATGACAAAAAAATGGGCCCAGTGTACTGAGCCCAAAATAACAGATAAAAGAAGATGAAGAACCACTAAATGACAAAAAAATGGGCCCAGTGTATTGAGCCAAAAAAAACAGGTAGAAACTAATTAAAAACCAAGTAAATAAAGAACATGGTCCCGGCGGGGCTCGAACCCGCGACCTTCGGCTCATAAGACCAACGCTCTAACCAACTGAGCTACGGGACCATATGCGTCTTAATAGTTATATATCACTATTACGTGAATTAATAGTCTCCTGTTGTGTCGTGTCGTGTCGTTCAATTTAATCCATTTAATTAATCATATGTCAACTTACACTTGTTTATTTGTGTGTCCTGTTGTTGTTGACACATATGACTCTTGAATTATTATTATTATTTTTTGTGGTGTGAATAAAGAATTTAATACTAAAATTTAAGTCTAATATTATATTATTGTCAAATCATACCCACTCTTAAACTAAAAATTAACTTAACAAACATAGGTAAAAAAAATCGTCTTTTTGTATGATGATTATGTTGATACTTGTGAAAAAATAACAAAAATGTGGCATTTTTTTCTATAATATTTATTTAATTGTGTTAATTTCGTGTTATTTGTATTTGATGCTAATTCGAATAATTTATTATTCGTATTAACAAGATTTGTTATTTGTGAGCTCGTATTAAAAAATAATCACCCCTAAGGCAAAAATTATCACGCCTACTTACCCTCCTCCCTCCGTATAAATGCATTGACCCTGGAGTCACCAAATGACTCCTAATTCTATACAACCTAAGAACACAGATACAGAGTATAATACGATATATATTCGATGATAGAGTAAAGTCATAAAAAATAGAATATGAGTATGATTAAAATATGTCTAATGCTACTATAATGCAACAAATATGAGAGATTAAGAGATAAAAGACGTTCTAAATTAAAAATAATTTGTTTTGTTGATATAAGAATTTCTTAATGGTATTTTGAATCCAATATTAAGTGTAATTTTAAAGGTAAACATATGTTTCACTAGAGAGTTCTTAACTTTTATTTAACATTTAATTGTGATAGTTTCATTGAATTTGACATAAGCCATAAAAACTTATTATTCAAGTCAAATAAATTGTAAAGAAATAATAAATCTCGTAACATATGTGATGCACATCTAAATGAACACTTTGGAATAAGAAATCCCTATTTATATGATAATTAGTCGAGAATTTAATTTGTTAGTTGTAATACTAGATAGATTTACAAAATTAGAAGGGTCAATCTAATGAATTCTATTAAACAAAACAAAACTTAGAGGGCTGCAAATTAATTATGAAAAGATTACCCCGAGGTTGCCCTCCACCCTTGTATTTGTTTACATGTCTTTCAATGACACCTTGAACAAAAGCTTTCTTAATGTGAAACTTAAGAGGTGTTTGTTTCATGTTTTTGTTTTTGTTTTTTTAATTTTTTTAAAAATGAAAAACAAAAACGTTACCAAACGACTCTTTAGTTACCTGAAAAGCTCAAATATATATATATATATATATATATATATATACTAATTATTGCATGTGCGTGAAGGTACAGAATAATAAAAAATAGTAAATAATAAACATATTTGTATTCATAGTTAAAATTAAATTGCAAACATAGAAAAAACATAAAAGATTTTAAATATCGGTTTTATAGTGGAGATGAGAGGTGGTGGTAGGAGACGGTAATACTTATGGTGGATGACAATAATTGTGGTGGTGACGAGGGCGATGGTGGTGGCGGCGGCGGCGGCGACACTGACAGCAGTGGTGGTGGCGGTGGCGGTGGGACGGTTTCAAACATTATTTTTTTGTAAAATATTTATGAGAAATAATTTTTAAAAATACTTTTAAAGAGTCACTCCAAATACATCCTTAGGGACTTATTTTTCTATTAAATTTAGGGTGTTAATATTAGATGTTAGATTAATTTTAAAGTAAAATTTAAAGCGATCTCAACCGTAAATAGTAAAAATCATTTTGTTTGTCTTTTGATATTTAAATTGTAAGATATTTTATTATATATATATCCACTAAATTGTTTGCTCATAATCCTTTCGGGTAGGACTAACGAGTTCATCCTGTTCTCAAAATATAAGGGTAAATAAGAATTACTTACAATTCATTTTAAGTTAAATTACAACTAAAAAATGTCACTTTTTCAATAGATTGAGTTGTACCCTTGTCTCATTAATCATTATACTATCTTCGACTCATTCAAATTGAATCCATGACCATCAAGTTGTGCTTTATTCCTTTCACCATTGCCTTCAATATTGTGCCATTACTTCCTTCATTTTCTTTTTGATGATGTTCTTCTTTATTACAGAGTGTCTAGACTTGTGCCGACTATAATGACATGAGTTAGGATAAAACATGCTCATGAGGCAGAAGATCAAGAACCGACGTCTCATATTGACCCATCTGCGTTCTAGAAATTACTTATATGATACTAAAAAAACAGCAACTTAAAGTTTGAGACTGACAGAACTTTCCTACAAGATAACTGAAAAATAATGGGCGCTCAAATAAATCTGTCAATGGATTGAATTTTTGATCCGAATTTGATTAGTCGAATATGAATTGATATTTTTAACGATTATTTGAATCTGATATTTTGTATTTTACGGATTCGAATTTGAATTTGGATTTGGATATATCTATATCTGATCNGACTGACAGAACTTTCCTACAAGATAACTGAAAAATAATGGGCGCTCAAATAAATCTATCAATGGATTGAATTTTTGATCCGAATTTGATTAGTCGAATATGAATTGATATTTTTAACGATTATTTGAATCTGATATCTTGTATTTTACGGATTCGAATTTGAATTTGGATTTGGATATATCTATATTTGATTTGGTTACGATCCAATCAGAAAAAATTATATATTTTTGTATAAATATTAAAGAAATTAAGGGATTATTTGAAGAATTTTAGCTAAAATTTTGATGTAATTTGTTAAAATTTAGTTAAATTAAGTTATTCGGATTGGATTTCAAATTGTTAACGGATTCAGGATCACAAAAATAAAAACTGTCGGATTATCGGATTAGACTTTCAAAGATTAGTCAAAATCCAAGCAACGTGCACTGCAACCACTATTGAGTCTCCCTCAACCTCTCAGAACATGGCCATCCTTATCAGGAATTTATTCAGTGTTCTGTCTGCAATTGCTAACCAGCTCCATCTTATGCTTTAGCATTTTCCTTAATTGTTTATTTCTGGAATTTATGCAGTCAGGCAGACTCATCTCATTATATGCGAGTTTGCTACTAGCGGGACNAGATTAGTCAAAATCCAAGCAACGTGCACTGCAACCACTATTGAGTCTCCCTCAACCTCTCAGAACATGGCCATCCTTATCAGGAATTTATTCAATGTTCTGTCTGCAATTGCTAACCAGCTCCATCTTATGCTTTAGCGTTTTCCTTAATTGTTTATTTCTGGAATTTATGCAGTCAGGCAGACTCATCTCATTATATGCGAGTTTGCTACTAGCGGGACTATTGGACCAATACAACAAGGCCTCCATCTCCACCTTAAAACAATAAAACTACTAGTAAATTTGTTAGAAGTTCTGCCAATAAGACGGAAAGGGGTATACCAGGGAGAATAATTGATGGTGATCATGCCAATACCAAATTTTGTCACAATTCACTAAAACAAAAATTGAACTTACATGTGGGGTTTGGCATCTTACACTACTCAACATATACTTAGCTTTGTTTTATTAGCTTTTCTCTCTGTGCTTCCTTGTCTGCTGCAGGCAGGGCATTTTGGTGGCCTTGAAGCCCTTTGTTTTCTATAAATAGCTTCTTCCAGGTCTGCTATGGGCATAGAAACATTCATCCTTCTTCTCTTCATTATTCTTATAGGTGAAGAAAAAACATGGAGGCCTTCTTTACATATGTACTGCCAATTGCAGTCCTCTTGATATCTCTTTCACTCTTCTTCCTCAATCGTAAACGCAATTCTGGTGGTTCAAAACTCCCACCAGGCACAAGTGGATGGCCAATGGTTGGCGAAAATATGGAGTTCGTCCAGTCAGGCCCTCAAAAATTTATATCGGAGAGAATGAACAAATACTCGCCTGAAGTGTTCCAAACGTCGTTGTTGGGAGAGAGATTGGCGGTGTTTTGTGGAGCTCCAGGAAATAAGTTTTTGTTCATGAATGACAGCAAACTTCTCACCTCATGGTGGCCACAATCGATGAAAAAGGCTTTGCTCTTCCCATCATATGTTGACGGTTCCGTGAAGGAAGTAGGAGCACTTCAACGTAGTTTCCTACATGAAATTCTCAAGCCTGAGGCATTAAAACATTACATACCTGTAATGGACTCCATGGCACGAGAACATGTGAAGACTCAATGGGCTCCTTTTAAAGAAGTGAAGGTCTTCCCTTTGTCGAAAAATTACACTTTTGCACTGGCATGTAAACTGTTTATGAGCATAGAAGACCCTGAACATGTGAAAAGATTGGCTGATCCTTTCATTCTTGTCACGTCTGGGATGTTCTCAGTTCCTATTGACTTGCCTGGCATGGCTTATAATCGTGCTATCAAGGGGGGCAAAATAGTTCGCGAGGAGCTTCTAAAGATCATCACAAAGAGGAGAAAGGAACTAATGGAAAAGAAGGAGACAGCAAATCAAGACCTATTGTCTCGAATGCTGCTAGTAACAGATGAAAATGGTCAATTCATGAATGAAATGGAGATTTCTAATAACATCATTGGTTTACTTGTTGCAAGCTATGAAACAACTAGTACTTCAGTCACCTTTGTCTTGAAGTATCTGGCAGAGCTTCCACACATTTACAGAGAGGTTCTTAAAGGTAATGCTCCAAAATGGTTTTGCTAATTAATTTTTTTTTTTCTTTTGCCTTTCTTGTCACCATTTCAAGATTATTATTACTATGATTCTGATTCATCTCAATANTTTTTTTTTTTTTTTGCCTTTCTTGTCACCATTTCAAGATTATTATTACTATGATTCTGATTCATCTCACTATGTGTTTAATCTTTAAAACTCAGTCGAACTTGGTAGATGTATTATCCACAGGAACTGTCCTATTTCTGGGTGTACCATTCTTAGAAAAAAATAATTTGGCTACTCATTCAATTCTTTTTCCAAAAATATTTGAATAAAAAAATACAAATTGATCTTACCCATCTACATTACATATGAAATATTTAAATGTTTTTTTTTCTTAATGTTTGGTTATGATTTAAATTGATTTGTCCTTCTCACAGAACAAATGGAGATTGCAAAGTTCAAAGGTCCAGATGAACTGCTGACTTGGGAAGATATTCAGAAGATGAAATATTCTTGGAATATGGCATGTGAAGCACTCAGGCTATCACCACCTGCTCAAGGAGCCTTTAGAGAGGCTATAACTGATTTCACATATGCAGGTTTTACCATTCCAAAGGGATGGAAGGTATGCTACACTTGACACTTTATAACAATCACGACAAAGCATAGGGAGTAACCTATAGTACCGAAATCGTATATTTCATTATCATACTGAAAGTTATGATTTACCGAAATCACGATGAAGATAAATTTTATTTGTTACGGGAATTCGATTGAGTCATAAAACGGACCTTGAGAGTCATAATTATAGTACTGTATTTAGTTTTGCATCATAGCCTTTCCCCAAAACATAACTTCAATCGTATGAAATTATGACAGTTGCCATCAAATATTTTTGCAGACATTTTGGACTGTACATGCGTCACATAAAAACCCCAAATACTTCGCAGAACCAGAAAAGTTTGATCCTTCAAGATTTGAAGGAAGTGGGCCTGCACCATTCACTTTTGTACCCTTTGGAGGAGGACCTCGAATGTGCCCCGGTAAAGAGTATGCTCGACTAGAGGTGCTCGTTTTCATGCATAACATAGTGAGAAATTTCAGACTAGAAAAGGCAATTCCAAACGAGAAGATAGTATTCCACGCATCCCCTGTTCCGATGAATGGTCTCCCTGTTCGCCTCCAACCCCATGAGAAATAATACTCCCTTTCACCCTTCACAGTCACAACAGACTCTCATTCAACAAAAATAACTCTCTGCAGAGAGACTATATGGGACACTGCTGCTACTTCATTCTCCTATTTGTAGTTCCTTGTTTCTACAATGTTGGTGTGGTTTTTATTGTTGGTTCTTATTTCTACAATGAAGTTAATCCTGAATAAAGTTATTGAGATTACCCTTCATTTGGTTGCCTTTGTCTTCTTGAGGCTTCTAAATTATTACTTTCTTTATAAGGTTGGCATTTCAAAAAAAAAAAAAAAACAAAATTGTGAGATACAATACAATATACATAAGCTAAATTATTTATTGAACATGGTTTAATTTATCTCGAGCTTGTTCACATTTGGGAGTTTGATACCACCTTAACTCAAGTTTCTGAAAATTTCACAATTTTGTGTAATGTGTGATGAGCTTGAGTCTGCCACTTCATTTAATTCACGTTATCACTAATGGACATCCAATAAAATTTCGGATTCACATGTGTCATGAACCAAGGCGACAAGCAAAGAATAGCCCTAAGAAATAGAAAAATAAGAACACAAAATTTTATGTGGTTCAACTCAACAAACATGCTTACGTTTACGAATAAAAACAACGACAAGATTTCACTATTAAAGGTCGGAGAGCGATGATGCACAAAACGGTCTTATGCAAGATCAACAGTCGAGTGTGTGATAAAGTGTAATTAATAGACAATTAATAGAACAATCAATGACAATAATGTAAATATCGGGTCAACACACAAATATATAGTGGTTTGGTCCGGGTGACCTACTCTACTCCAGGAAACGGTAATAGTGGCTGGGGAACCTTTTATTGATTAAATAAGGTGAACAAGACAGAGTAATGGTTAGCTCAGGGAGAAATATAATAGCTAGAGGAGAGAAAAGTTATGTGTGAAGTGTGTAGAGAGGTGTCATCTCATGTAGAGAGAACTTACAATTTATAGGCACAGAGCCTTAGTTGAGGCGGTGACGTGAGGGTAAATGTACTAGATTTTCAGGGAGCTACAAAAGGTAAGTACAATAAATGTTGCTTTGATTTTCGAGAGTGAGTATCCCGATAATTGCTCCTTACGTGCACTAATCCTTCTGAATTTCTTAAACTCTAGACTTGGTCGAATCCATGAATTGCACTTGACCCGTCTTGTAGCTGATTTGGGTCTAGCTCATTAATTGGGCTTGACCTAGTTAAATCTGGGCTCGTCAAAGGGCATTGAAATTGGAGGCATTTGGGGGAGCATTGCACAATACAGGAAACATAATTTGAGGTGAGTGGGTAGATGGTTATAACTCAATAACAGGATTTGATTCACATCCTCTAATTCTGAACTAAGGCTTTAAAGAACCTTATTCCGTTCTCTTGGAATGTCACCCTTGGTTGACATCAATTGGGCTATTGCCACAACTATTAAGAAACAAACCTTGGCATGTGTCAACAAGTTTTTTCCTTGCCTCTTTCAAGTAACCAGGACCGCACCCTTCCGGGTTGTAATTCTGAAAAGTCACTTAGCAGAATAGATTCCAAGCCATTTCGAGATTTAATGCATCAACCCTGACAGTATGCTTAGCCCCCAAACCTGATCGAGAAGCTGCAGTTTCGTCACGCGTAGTGATAGTAATTGCAAACCTACTGTTTGATGGAATTACTGTCTGTATTGTTCCAAGACCTTTGAATCCCTTCTGTATTGCAAGAAGTTGAGCAGCTGCCTCCTTGTGGTCGATGTATTTTGGAATTTCATTACCAACACTCTTGTAAAACCCTTGCACCATTTGCCTTAAAAGCACCTTCAAACTTGTAGGTCTTGTTGAATTATATTGATATCCCTTACTGTTTAACTACCATTTCAAAAAGTACTCCTATGGTTAGCGTTATTATTGACAATGCTAAAAAAGTGATTACATCATCAACTTTTTACATTTTAATATCTATATTACCTTTGAATCTTTTTACACTTTTTTGAATCTTTTTGTAAAGAAAATGGAATAATACATCAACTAACAAGTTATTATACACCTCAACAAAACGGTGTAGCCGAAAGGAGAACTAGAACATTTCTTGACATGGTTAGAACTATACTTAGTCATGCACACTTAAGCACAACATTTTGAGGTGAGGGTATTTCTGTCGCCATTTATATTCTTAATAAAGTACTCTCTAAAACAATAGGAATGACACCATATAAAATTTGGAGGGTTATAAAACCAAGTCTTTCTCACTTAAAAGTTTGGGATAGTTTGGCTCAAGTTAATATTTTAGGACCTAATACAGGAAAATTAGATCATAAATCAATAAAATGTACTTCTATTGGATATTATGAAAATTCTATTGGCTATAGATTTGTAATTCACTATAATTATGGATCAATGGAAGTCATTGAAAACAGAGATGCATTTTTCTTTGAAGTTGACTTAGGTAAAATTGAGAAAATGGTTAAACTATTTGAAATTACTAAGGAAAATAAAAATATATAACCACAAGAGCAAATAATAAAAGAGCCTCCACCTAAGGATATTTTAACTAGAATATAAAGGGAAAAAAATGCACTTAGCTACTTAAAAGATTATTATGCATTCTGAAATTACTAAGGAAAATGAAAATATATAACCACAAGAGCAAATAATAAAAGAGCCTCCACCTAAGGATATTTTAACTATAATATAAAGGGAAAAAATGAACCTAGCTACTTAAAAGATTATTATGCATTCAATTGTGAAGAAATTTCAAATGATCTTGTTAATTTTAATGATGCTATGAATTCAATTGATAATTTAAAATGGAGAGAAACAATTAAAGAAGAAATAGAATCTATAGAGAAACACAAAGTTTGAGAGTTGGTTGATTTGCCAATAGATAGAAAAGCAATAGGGTATAAATGGATCCTTAAAAAGAAATTTAAATTGGATGGATCTTTAGATAAATAGAAAGTTAGACAAGTGGTCAAGGGATACACACAAAAGGAAGGAATAGATTATGATGAAACCTATTCTCCCGTAGCATGCAGATGCAGCCTAAGGGGTGGTGATGAGTTACTTTCAAGGCTGTCCGATCGATCTCGACGAGCCGAAGGCAATTCCTTGCACACAAAAGATGGGTTAAAAGGGTGCCGAAGTATTTTTCGGCCTATTCCCTCCGACTGTTAAGTTAGTTTCTGTGAGAAAGGGGAATGTGAGAGAGGGGAAGGAAAAGCACTGTGTTGTATTCTTGAGTGAATTTGCGTATCTTTGTCTTCAGATTTTTGTAACTATTTATACCGTCATGGACTCATCATTACTGACAGATGGGTCATCTCAAAAGGAGGCTCCCCATTGTTCTAGTCATTGGATAGTGCATCTCCCATTTTGCGTGGGGGAGGCCTTGTCATTAATTACTCGGGCTCCCGAGCATTTAATACTCTTTCTTCTCGGCTTCCCAAGCCATCATGGACTTCTCATCCTTCTGAGGGGTTATTAATGCTTCTCTGGAAGGATTGCATGTGAGAAGGGGTATTTTTGTCAATTTATCCCCAATTCTGCACATTATGCTACGTGCCTAACTCTCTTTGGCTGCTGATCTTGTTCCTTCTATCATTTTGACTGCGTTGGAAATGCAAACCAATGATTCATAGTCTAAATCTGAGATTGATTGGCCGTAATCGCCAATAATTCCTCCAGGAGCCGAGGTGATGTGTCCAAGAAAAGTGCTCGAAATCTAATCACGTAAAGGACACATGGCTGGACCAGAGAACAGAAGGTGTCCTCAGTGCCGAGGACACGTGTCTTTATCATAGAACAGGAGGTGCCCTCGGTGCCGAGGACGCGTGGCTATACCAGAGAATAGGAGGTGCCGAGGACACGTGTTAGAATCCTATCCTCTCTCAGAAGTGTCCCATCACTAATCAATGTGTCATTTGTCAAACACATTTTCTTTGTTTTGGAAGGTAAATATATTTATTAATCCGAAAACTATAAATTTTACATTAAAGTTCAAAACATTCAAAGGAGCACACAGAGTATGCTCACAAAGGTAAAGTGCTCAAGGCAAAACAATCTAGTCTATAAAAATAGTTAACTTCTACAATCCAAGAGACTAAGGCTTACAAAAGGATATATAAAATTTTAAAAAATAAGTGATGGATCAATAAGCCCAACTAGCAGCAAGGTCGTGACTATCTCTAGCCACTTACTGAAGCACATATCTAGCCACTTAACTGAAGCACACCAACAAAGATTTAAATTTCTTTCTCTTGAAGCTCCACCCAAATGAAGAGGTACTCGTTAGGAGCAAGTACCAAAACTAAGAAGTCGGAGGACCTGAACCTCCACAGAGAGACCCTTCCCAAACGGGTGAAGATGCTTAGAATGGAGCGTTAGATGTTTAGAATTGGTGGTTGACAGTTCAAAAAGGGACAATTCGTGGTTGGAGGGTTCTATAAAAGCCCTTGGGAGAGCTCGCCGTCCAACTTTGATGAGCATTTTCGGAATGTTGCAATAACTTGAAATGCCAGCTCAGGTGTGGAATGTGCTGGACTTTACAATTTTTTGATCCTCCAGCATTCATCTCCGCCAACAATTCCTCAGGCATTTCATATAAATTCACTTCTTGCAGAGCTCTGAGATGAGCCAAAACGTCTGGAAGCATTGTTAGACCCTTGCAACGACGAATGTTGAGTGTCTCGAGGCATTTCATCGCTCCTTCACTATGATCCCATCCCCTCACATCACGAGCATCATAGATCGTCAAAAACTTCAACTTTGGGAAGCTACCAGGGCCACAAACTATTTTATCTCCCCTATAAGCCATATGAAGAGTGAGACTGATCAGATTTGGTAGACACCCTAAAGTGATAAAAGCATCATTCCGTAAGTAGCAATCGATTAATTTGATATGTCGGAGACAGCTATGAGTGTCTAAAAAATCTGGCAGTCGTCTTGAGCATTCCCTTTAATACTAGCTTCTCGAGAAAACGTGGAGCCAACAGTCTCTCCAGCCCGCCTGGTCGGTGGAACTCCGAATTCCAAGTTGTTCGCACAGTCAGTGACTCAAGGTTAGGCAACTTTTCAATAGAAGCACAAAGTTCACTACAATCCTTTACCTCAATGACGGATACTTTCAATTTCCTTAGCTGTGTCAACTGACCCAGTTCTCTTGCCTGACTACAATTCAAACTCATGCCACTGAGCGTTTGAAGTTGAGTAGATTGGAAAGTTAAATTTGAAACTCTAACATTAGTGCTGCAAATGAGATGCCTCAATTGCTGAAGCTCTGCTATCCCATCAGGCAAAGAGTCCACTTGTGTACCTCGAATATCCAGGGTTTGAAGATGGCATAATTTTCTCAAAGAAGTAGGAAGCTTGCTGATGTTTGTACACTTCAAACCCAAAAACCTCAATTGAATCAGATTCCCCATTTCATCGGGTAAACTCTCAATGGAAACATTTTCCAAATGCAGGACCCTCAACAATTTGATGCTCTGTAACATTTGAGACTGAGAAAAGTTAAATGAATTAGCACGAAATACATGAAGAGATCGCAACTTCCAGTTGCTCATGTCTAATTCAGTATAGGGTGTAGTTTCATAAATGACCAAACGGCGTGATTTCGATTTCGATTCCAATTCACAGATCTGGTCCGAAAATATCACCCCAAAATTCCCCTTGCCAATAACATGAAAAGCAACATCACGTAAAAGGTCATGCATTTGGTAGTAATCAGGCTCCCTACTGATCCGATGAGTGATTATATGCAACAAGCTTCTATAGCTTAGCTCAAAGAAGTATTCCTTAGCAACGGCTTCAAGTGTTTGGCCAGGGATCTCCGTGACAAAGCCCTCAGCAACCAATAATCGTATTAGATTGTTAATCTTAATCCGGCGATTTTTGGGAAGCATTGCACAGTACAAAAAACAGAATTTGAGGTGAGTGGGTAAACAATTATAACTCAGTAGCAGGATCTGATTGACATCCTCCAATTTTGAACTAAGGCTCTGGAGAATATCATTCCATTCTCTGGGATTGTGGCCCTTGGTTGACATCAATTGAGCAAGGGTCAGAATCGCCAGAGGTAAGCCTTGGCATCTATGGACAAGCTGTTGCCCGACGTCATGCAAGTAACTAGGTCACCGTCCTTTGGGCTCGGCACCCCGAAAAGCCACTTTGCAGAAGAGATCCCAAGCCATTGTATGATCTAGAGGATCAACCTTGAAAAGGCATCTACCCTCTAGAAGAGATTTAGAATCTACAGTTTCGTCACGGGTGGTGATGATAATTGCAGACCTACTGTTTGATGGAAGTACTGTTTGGATTTTTTCCAAGACCTCTCGATCCCAGACATCATCGAGGATAAGAACGTACCTTCTGTCCTGCAAGAAGTTGATGAGCAGCTCTCGAAGCCGATCAACTACCATGTTGTCAATGTCTCCTGGAGGTTTATCTCCCACACTGCGGTAAAGCCCTTGGGCCATTTGCCTTAAAGCAGCTTCAAATTTGAAGGTCTGAGTCACAAAAACCCAAGCGTAGCATTCTATGCTCTTCTCTTTTTGAATGTTGCTGTACAAACGTTTGACAAGAGTTGTTTTGCCGGAGCCACCCGGCCCACACACTGTGATCACCATCATCTGCTCTTTGGACTGCTCAACAAGATTTTTAAGGTTCTCAACACGTTCATCAATTCCTACAACATAGGAATCCTCGTAGTAAGGGGAGGCTCGTCCTGGGTCTCT